TAATCGATTTTTTTGTTTTCTTTAGTCATTTTATTTAATTAATCTTTATTAATTATTTTCTTTGTTTTTCGAAATACACCCAACATTTTACTAATATTAGAGTATTTTTCCCTTATTTATTAGTGGGTCGTTACATTATAGCGTTGAACTATTCAATTGTGCTTTCATATAGTCAAGATTTTTTTTACCTGTTTTCAAATTTTAAGTATGGAGTTATCATCATTTAGATTTTTATATTTGTGAGTGGTTGAAACATTTGATTTATTATCTAAACATATACAGTACTACGTATAATCTAATTAATTTTATTCTCAGTTCCCCCAAACTAAAATCCCAGTTAATCTGACAAATCCTTTTATATGCCTTTATATGATTTTACATTAGATTGAAAACTTACTCACTTCTCACATTTTATATGATGCACTTTTTATTTTGGTACGTCTAAAACATACAAACATTTTTCAAATTCAAATATTCTTTTTCTTTTGTTGGATCTTTTTCTAATCTTATGCAAATTTTGTACAATATGCCAAACAGGGTACATATATAGGCATACAGGACAACTCATTATGATTATGATGTATGATCCCATTTGTCCAAATTCGTTGCCTCAACACTGTTATTTTGCCGTTTCACAGAGATGATTATTAACGTACTTTTGTTAGTGATTAACCGATAATTAGGGCTTGTCGGAGTGGACTATTCTCAACTTCTCACATACAAGTAAGTATGTGAGGTCCAATGGATGACCATCCACTCCCAAATCTCTCATGAGGGAGGTCTTGTTCCCAATGATTTTTCCTACCTTCACGGAGTTGCTCAACGGCTGAGAAGGGAGGATGGTAATGAAGGTAGCAGGTTCGTGTGGTGGGAGGAGCAGTCTGAAAGGTGATGTAAGTTCTGCTGGATTCGCCCTTTGGAGCCAGTACTGATGAGGCTGACTGTGATCAGATCCAGATTTAACTGTCTAGTAGCCTTGGAGGGTAGTTCATAGACTTCAGAATTATGGGAGCGTAAACCCCGACAACCGGATTAACAAAAAAAAGTATATCATGAAATGTACGGAGTGAAATGATAAATGTGTTTGGGGCAGCGTTATGAAGACCCCCACATGGCTGTGTTGCACCTGCTTAAGGCACAAAGAAACAAACATTACCAATTTCCCTAGTACGCCGCGTTACAGTACCCCACCTTATTTACCTTATTTTGCACAATCAGGTTCCGCATCCAAAAAAAAGTTTAGTCAAAGTTGACTTTAACATGAATTAATAAAGTAAAAACTGTGTGGTTGAAATTTGTGCAGATGAGAGAGAATTAATTTTAGCCACATATTTCTTACTTTAAATGGAAATGACAAATCTTTTTGAGATATCCAAAAAAGGAAATTTGGCCAACCTTTTTGGGACGGAGGGAGTAACATACTTCTTACATTATACTATCCTACTAGATTCGTAAGAGAGTATTTGTCACGAAAATATCACTAGTTATGTTTTTTGTTGGGCCGCGGGTATGCGGAGCCAGCAATCTGCCGCCCTGCCGGTGAAATCGAATGTGTGACGCTTCGCCGCTTGTGCATTAAAGGGGGAGAAGCGTGCTACTCTATCAGTGATTATTTTTAATGTAACGGTAAGCGCAATGATCCATAAGTGGTATCAGAGTGAGTTCACAGGTGAATCTCTCGGCTGATGTTGGGGTTGTTTTAATAGCCATCATCCTCTTCATGCTATTTTTTGTGTGATTGACGCTTGATCTATGCTGACTTACTTATTTTATTTAATGGTGACATGGTGTATTTTCTTGCAACGGGTGTTATAAGGCCTTTTAAATATCAGCTATGTAAAATCTGCCTGAAATTTTAAATCTTCATAAAACTTCTCCTTAAGTTCATTCTTTATGAAATTCATTCGATATTCCTTAAGTTCAATTTTTGCTTGGACTTTTTTCAGTCTCAGACCAGACTTAAACAGACCAGACCAGACTTAAACAGACCAGATCAGTCTCTTCCATAATTATACAGTACACAAAGACCATACATTTACAGAACCAGGCTAGTTCAGACCAGACTAGACTTAAACAGATCATACCAGATCACCAAATTACAATCCAAGTAAAAACATCCTTATAACCGAGAGAGTGTCACTAGTTTGCCTCTTTTAATTTTTTCGTCTTTACTTAATATATATATATATACACCGATAATATCTAGTTTTGTTTTGTTTTTTTAACTATACTTTACTTACTTGCAAAGGCGGATCAGATGCCCTGAGATGAATAGGAATTATATTAGTCTGAGATATTAGCGGGGTGGGCTAAATGTGAAAAATGAAAAAACTTACACTAAAAAAATTGAAAAATTTCTAAGTTGCTCTAGGCTTCAGCCTACCATAGTCCGTGCATACATCCTCCCCTGCTTGCATGGTGACCTTACGTTATAATTCGTCTAGGGCACTAAAATGGTCAAAGAAGACTCTAGTTGTATTACTCTCACTTCTTTCATCATGCAATGATTAAATTAGGGAGAATTGTTCAACAAAAATGTTTTAAAATTCCAAAATATGATTGTCATGTTTTTATTTCCTATATATGTCATGTTTAAAGCCTGATAATTTCAAACTTGATAGAAATTACTCCTATTTGGGAAATAAAAACATGAAAGTCATATTTGAGAATTTCAAAACGTTTTTACTTCTCTTTGGTGCAATTTCTATTCAATCTAAGCACACATGACACATATAACTATATAAGGTCACAACTAGTAATATGATTTTTGGTACAACGACTCTTTCAAGATCGAATCATGTTAGCGCGCAGAAATGTGGAGGTTACGTTCAAAATAAGCGCAGAGCGAGATGACTCGGTTAAGGGTGTTTGTTTATGGCGCATGTGAGAAATCCATGCAACCATTTCGTGCCAATATATAAAAGTGCAATCAAAACAAGTGCAAATTTTTGTGATATTGTTGATAGTATCAATTTGTGATAAAACATTTTATATGCGGGAAGGTTGTCACGTGACTCACGTGTGGTTGTTTGTGTATCCGCAGATAACTCAACTGAGAAAGCGGAGAGAAAGTTTGGATAATGACTAATTCAATATCAACTACATAATTGATAATTCCACCTTTTTTAGTAACCACATCATTATCTCTCTCTTGTTCCAAACTCATTGGACGGATGTAGTATATGATAACAATTATAATAGGAATATTACGTTAAAATTAAAATGCTTTGAAATTTAGAGCACGTTAGTAACCACTATTTTCGGTTTATCAATTTATCACCCAATTTTTTTAATAAATATGTAATTATTTATTTCGCGTGCTAATCTGGATAATAATCAAAATATGATTAGAGTGGTTTTTCTAATTTAATTGACTGGATTTATTTTTTTATCGATAAAATACCCTTTAAATATAATTTATCATAATTTTATAGATTAAGTCAATTCAATGAGTTGAATCAGAAATTCACAGGTTATGCAATAATTTCCCATAATATGCTTGCCTTCCATCACACAAGATTATTGATCTTTGAGTAGATGTTATGACCTGTGACACATTGATACCGTTACAGCTAAAAGGCCATCGTTTGTCTATCAAAACCCTACCTTATCCACACCCACCTACAAGAAGGCCATTGTTTGTCCCTTTCAGTGTTTGCGTTGCGCAAGGAATGTGCTTGGAAAAAGATGAAGAGTGAACTTACAAGGATTGCAAGTTCTAGGAAAATGCTTCTTTATATAATCTTATCCAAAACTATGACCTTTGTATCAATTTTGGAAAAAAAGTTTAATTAATATGAAAAGTTAGAATAAGCTTACAAATTGTTTCAATGAGACTACAACTTTTAACAAACATATCAAATTATGTTTGTTAGGCTGCGTTGGAAGGATTATACTCCGTATAAGAGAGTATAAGAGATTAAGGATTGTACTTGGAGTTAGGGATGGACCCGGGTCGGTCCGGTTCCGGGCCAGGCCCGGGCGGCTTTTTTTCAAATTGTTGGGCCCAGAACCGGCCCAGGTTGATACCGGGTCCGGGCCTAACTGGGGCGGGCCGGGGCGGGCCCGGGTCAAGGTAATTTTTTTTGCTTTCTAATTAACCCCCGACCCCCCCCCCCTTTGACCCCCACCCCCCCCAAACCCCCCCAAAACACCCAGCCCCGACCAAGAAAAACAAAAAAAAATTGAAAAAACAAATCAAAAATAAAAAGCCCGGGCCCGGCCCGAACTGCCCGAGCCGGTTCAACAAATACAAGGCCCGAGCCCGGCCCGTCCAACTGTCCCCAACCGGGTAAAAGTCCGGGCCCGATTAGCACCAACTGGGCCGGTCCGAGCCCGCACAGTGGCGGGCCGAACCGGTTCCGGGCTGAACCGGTTGGGTGCATCCCTACTTGAAGTCTTGGACTGAAATTTGCTGATCTAAGTCTATTTAAGTCTAGGCTGGTAAATATTTTGTTTCTGTATATTATGTAACTATAGAAGTCTGGTCTGATCTGTTTAAATCCGGTATGAGACTAAAAACAGTCCAAGTAATACATGATGAAGATCATAGAAAGACTCTTCCCACCGTTTATTGTCAATACCGAAAGGGGTAGCTAGAACTCCTAGAAGGTTGATGGTGATCACTCTATGGTGATCGAACACACCGATTCACTTTTACACTTTCAAAAAGAAAACTCATACTTGGTGTACACCTTTTAAGTACATTTTTTGTACACTCATCTATATACATATACAATTTGTCCAAAACGGATAAATTATCTATGTACATAGGACATTTTGGGATAAATTGTCTATGACATGCACCAATGTACAAACAAATAGAAGTGTACAAATGAAATTTTTGTAATAAATTGTATAAACAAATCAACAACAATTTTTGTGAAAATACTACACCCACCTAATTTTTCAAAAAAATCTCATTAAGCTAATGCACATGAATTTTACGGAATTATTTAAGTTCATTTAACAAGTTATTGCGCATGAAAACGTAGCCGCTAATAGCCTCTTGGTCTTGATAATTAAATCATTACATCTTCTTAGGATACACACACACACACACACACACATATTTAATTTTAATTTCAATCCATAATTCCTGTCTAAACTTTTCACGTCAACTTTGTATACTTTTTAAGGTCATTAGTGAAGTTAAAGTTAAGCGAAACTAATCATTTTCGTTGTTTATATTTGTCAATTCAAAAAGGAAAAACCATCAGTTATAAACACACCGGTTTGTTTAAATCATGTACATATTTCTCCCACCTGAGAAGGGCTTCCGTCAAATTCACAGGAAATCTCTTAAATATCAGGTTCCAAGCATATTCACACCGTTCTTCAGCATGTGGACAAGCATTCAACAGGAAATCTCCTCAAATTCTAACACCTGGAGAATGCAAATTAAAAGTGTCAAATTAAAAATGTAACAGGAACGAGTTCACAAACTTTACCCATGTAAAAATCTAGTTATGCAACAGATCAAATATGCAAAAATGCTCTTATTCTGCCAATGTACAACTTTCGTCATAGAAGAAGTTGCATAATATAATGGTTATTTTCAAATTTCCAGCGACCAATGTCTGCCTAAATATCAACTTTGTTTGATCTCTACGAAACAGGAATACTCAAAGATTATTCTTTGCAATTCTATGCCAAGCTCTTACGGTCAAAATAAAATATACGTCCTGCCTGTCTCACGTGATACACAAAAAATCAATAGTAACAACGGGAAATTAAGAGAGCATCTTACCACACCACAAACAGGACATGTTTCACTCCTTTCCTGCCACTCAAAGATGCAGCTAAGGTGGTAATGGTGAGAGCACTTGGTGATTATTTTGGGGTTGTCAATAGTATAATCTGCAAGACAGAACTCTTAAGTGATTAAATAGTTCATCATTTCAGGAGCACAGTTGATCCAGTGGTTATATTGAATATAGTGTTAATACATTATTAAGGCGAACCGAAAAGATCCCAAGTCCTTATTACCTTTCTTTTGGAAAAAAATTGATTTTGTCCTTGACTAAGCATTTTAGATGCAATTTAGTCCTCAGAAATACTTTAGGGGCAGTTTACTTTTGAGTCTATGGGATTAATTTGGACAGTGGCTTAATCATTAACCTATTAGGTCATGTTCGTTTACTTCAGACTTCGTTTGAAATACGACTTACTTGTACAGTAAAAAATGATTTAATCCTTTACTCTTATATAGTACTTTTCCCAGGCGCTGGCTATGACATGCATTGAATCAGTTTTTTATGATACCGATTATGGAACATACTTATATGTGCTATTAAGTGAGATAACTCATTAACAAGACTATGCAAACCAAATTTTAAAATTAGTTTTTATTCAGCAAACAAAATAAATAGGCTTTATACAACGATCACTTAGTCTGGAGAGATGTCTTCATTAAAATGGACATATCTTACTTTAATTAGGAAGGGTAGTTTCAAATAGAGTGATAGTGTTTAACTAATAAATTGGTATTAACTCAATTTGAAATGTAAGTATAAATAGAGAAGGTAAAAAGAAAAAAAACCTTCAAGGCAAGTAGGGCAGACATCCTCATCTTCTGAGGATGGAATTGGGTATCCTGGCTCAACTTCCAAAAAAGAGAAGCAAGCCTTAGGGGCGCAATAGTCCTTTTCACAATCCAAAACAACCTGTTTGCTTTTACTCGTAAGCTTCCCAAGTAGTTCAAAATCAGCATTAGAAATATTTCCTGTCTGTGAATGGCTTGAGCCTCTCTCTAATTTCCTGATTTCAATTTCTTGGTATGCCTGTGGACCTCTTAATCTGGAATTGTTTTGTGAAATTGTATCATCCGGATCTGCCAAGGCCACATCCTGATAATTAGTACTGTTATTGCGGACTCGGGGTTCCCCTCCACCAAATAAAGCTTCATACTGCAGGAAAGTAATGCTCCATTCAGATTACATCAAAGATAAGATATGACTTTGAAATTACTTGATTTACTTCATGGTTCACACATACAAAAATAAAGCAATTTCCCCATAACTGTTATAATCAACCGCAAAGTGATCTAAAACAGTGCTCATCATGTTCTTACATACACCAAAAAACTCTATTTCAGTGACATCCAGTCATAACTTCTTATACTATAGACTTAAAGATGGTAGATAGTATATATCAAGACTTGGAGCTTCATCCGGACAAGTGACTCATTCTATTATATATTGGTATAATATTTTACACTTTGTCGGTGTAATACAAAATTCAAATTCTTCAACACGTCATCAGCCAAACCAGGCTATACAGCTTGAGAATTGAATAAATAGGTCAAAAAAACTAAATGGAATTCCACAAATAATGGACGCCGAACAAACAATCAAACAAAAGCTTGGCCTAGCTCTTATATCATAATGAGACTAGTGACTTCATCTTAAAATGTTAGCTTGAAAGAAGTAGTAGTTTACAATCATATATACGGACTGTTATTTAATATTTTATACTTTGATCAGTTGATGGGTTATACCGCCAATGAGATGAGAGGCGTGTTTTCGAATATCAATCCAAGTTCCACATAGAAAACATAAGAAACAATTTCCTTGAATAAGTAGCAAACCAAGTATTAACAGCTTTGGGAGTTGCCTACTCTCCATAACAGATAATATCATACTCATGTGCAGTTAAGGTTAGATTTATGGTCCTGGACTCCTCGTATAATGCAAGATAGTTGGCCTAGGATGTAGCCTTAGAGTCGTTATTTTAGTGTCATTATTTTAGGCCAGATCTTTTGGATGACACCTCAAATCTTAATATAGTGAACCAATAATATGTCAATGCAATGGATTTCAAAATCATGTAAAACTAGAAGGTTTGCAAGAACAAAAGGGGAAGGGAAATAGCTTATAATGTATACGCACCTGATGTAGTAAATCTTGTAACCGAAAATTTAAGCACAAGGAATCATTCGGAGAATCTGAGGTAACATCATCCGAGAGTGTGAAACAACAACAGACAGCACCCATGATGTCTCTCTGTCCTTGAATTTTTTTTACTGCAGTAAAGTTTCCACCTCCACAGAACAAGTTTCACAGATAAAACAACCTGAGTTTCCAATGAAGAGGTAAAAGTGAATCACACCCTAAAAAACTTCGCAGGGTGAATTTCAATCAAACACAACCAATTAGCAGTCCTATGTCTTTCTTTTCTTTTTCCAATTACTGAGAAACTGAATTATTGAACTATTGCAAGCAAATCCAGTCGATGATTAACTAAGAAAGCAATAAGAATAGAATAACCAAATTGAAGAAATAATACCGTAGGAAGAATGCGTTCCTTTGAGAAGAAGTTGACTTGGGACGCAGACTTCTGAAAATTCGATACAAGGACGGCCGGATCAACCAAAAGGGTTTTAAGGAATTTTGTGCAACGAGGAATCAAAACAAGAAATAATGTGAAAATTAAGAAATTTAAAGTACTCCTCCGTACGTTACAATTTTGTCATGACCTTTCACAATCGTACTAGGTTTATACTTCGTACGATGATAGTATTACAAAGTACATAAAATGTTACAAACAATTGGAAAATTAAATACTCCCTATGTACACAAAATTTAGACAAGTCGTACATTGTCTATATATACCGTTAATTGTCAGAGATTTCTTTAAACATAACTCACACTATGCACATTGCCCCAGTTGTCTGTGTAAATAAACCGTTGGTTAAAAAAACGATGAATTGCCTATGCATAACTTGTGTGCAAATTTTGTACACAACAAGGATTACTCCAACAAATATGCTTAAGAGTTTCCACATCTTGATACGTTAATAGAAGTCCTAGTCCCACTATACTTCTAATAGAAGGCAACCCTTGTAGATGCGGTCATCGCGGCTGCAAATTTTGTCTCTGGCTCTCTGCTGCTGCAGATCTGATTGATGACATTGCTACAGATTCGGATCGTCACCAAACTAACCTTGCTTATGAAAGAGAACTAGAGGGACACTTGTTTATACCACAAAGGGCAAATATGGAATAAATGTTCTATTTAGTGAATAAAAATATACCTACTCCTATTTAGGAATTTGAGCCACAATTAACTCTTATGTACAATAAATATGACTCGTACTTTATTTATAAAAAAATATAATATAGAATTATACTAGAATCAGTGTACAATAATCGCTAAACATACACTGAGTAGTAGTTCACCTGTGCGTTGCACGAGATGTAAAATGCAAATATTATTCTTAAATTATCAATTCAATATCAACATCATAAACTCACTTTTTTAATAACCGCATCACTTTTTCATATCTCAATGGTAGTGGGAAGCAGTTAGTAACAAATAATAAATGTTTACTAAACACACACTTTACAAATTATTGAAGACTTTTTTCTATTCAACATTTCTTCCGGTTTTTTTCTGATTTCTTTCGTCATCGCGCATATCACAAACATCAAGTCATATTGACTTGTCACCCTCGAAACTGCAACGAATAACTACCCCACGTGTAAAACTAGACGTTGTAGAATAATACCTACATTTCCTAACAATTATCCTTGACGTTTTTCATCATCATGAGCATCACCAGCACACCAACATTTAGATTCAACTCGTGACTTGACACGTCTGAACATTTTATACCATTAAGGAAGTTGGGATAATGAATATCCTGAAGGAACTCATTATATGAGTTGAGGAACACGATGAATCTAATTTGTATAAAAATGGCACTAATATTTGTTATTTTAATCGAAGTATATAAAGTAAATTAGGGTGTTTACATAAATAAATAAATCCATTATTGTATTTAAATTAGGAGATTAGGAGTTTGTGTTTCCTTATAAAAACTAATGTGCATATAAATTTAATTTAATGCATGGGCCTTATGTTACAACAATAAAAAAGTAATCTTAAGATAAGAAATCAAGTTTGGATTTCCCTTGTTTTAGTTGCTAGTAGATTGCTTTTAACTTGTAGTTTATTTATTTGACTTCAATGAAACCTTTAATTTGTGGTCCCTTTTTGATGATTTTAACCGCTGCAAAAACATTGACGGGGGATAATATATGGGCGAACACACAATAGTCATGTACAAAAACGGTCAAAGTGAAAGATGTAGACCAATTGTGGAATTGGTGTGATACTCATAGGATCAAAAGCGGAATTTATTCGTTTAATACATACCCAACAATTCAGGAACCTTATCATGGGAATTAATAATATCGAAAACTCCATGAACTTATTGTTGGAAAAATGTGTTAAAAATTGCATTAAATGGTCATTCTGGGGCAATTATTTGAGTGGGGTCCACTTCCGATTTGGGTCGGGTCAAAGTGGTTTCAGATTGTCCTTGTTAAGGGCTACAATTCGATATGTGGTACACTCAAAACGGATAACGGGTGAATGAGAAATTGATTCTCGAAGTTCACTCGTTGAAATGGAAAAACTGGGAAAATGATGAGTTTCTAGTGATTTTCACCCCCTTATAAAAGGAAGCCTCTTTTAAGGAGTTAAGATTCCTAAAGGGAAAGGCTCTCTCTTACGCGCAGGAGGGGGGGGGGGGGTGCCGATCAAATCCCGAAACGGAGAAGAAAAACCGCGACTCATGTGCGTGGGCGACCTGCGGACACGAATGCCGTCCAAAAATCTATCTCTCAAGGGGTGTTCTGCTGGCTTCGGACAGAAACCCTCCAAGGGGTGTTCTGCTGGCTTCGGACAGAAACCCTCCAAGGGGTGTTCTGTTGGGGTCTTCTGTCGCGCATTTCTTCCGTTACAACAATTAATGCCCAACGTTCTTCTCTTTTAATGCTGCGTTAAATGGACAGTTTATGGACGATTCAATGCCCAGCGGACTGGTCATTGATGTCCAACGTTCAGGTCCATTAACACCCCATTTAACACACAACAAATCCTCCTATAAATAGCTGGTAGGTGCTTTGCAACAAACACACAGTTTGACACAACGCACAATACTTTCCTCACGAATTTCTTGAGCTAAAAACACCTACAGCTACTCTGCAAAATTCCTTCTGTGTTCATACTTGGTTCTCGTTCGCTGGAACTCTTGTTTGTGTGCTCAAACATTAGTTCGTAGTCATCGTATTCTGGGAAACGATTGTTGCAACGCTCCTAGCACTGTGGGAGGCAACAAATACGTTTTAAGGAAATCGTGCGTAGCACGAGCTTTGGCTAATTCTGCTTCATCTCCTTTCTTGTTTTTCTCTAGTCATTTTATTTAATTAATTTAATTTAATTAATTTTCTTTATTTTCCGAAACACACCCAACACTTATAGATGTTTTGCGGGAAGTGCAAATGCTTTTCATCATTTTGTTCCATGATTTTTATATTATTTGTGATGGACAAGTGATAGGGATGGGGAGTTGGCCTCCAATTGCCCTCATTTTCTTTTACTGAAAAGTTAAGCATCACATGCATACAATCTACCCTCTTCGAATTTATCTAAAATTGGAGCAGAATTGTTGCTTGAACTTGTTTGCCGTAAACATGAATTGGGTACTATTGTATCAATAATAAACACCAAATTAAATAATAATTTGCTTAAACTAAGCCATTACAACAATCTATAATGGGAAGTACTCCAACAAACCTTTTGAATTCAAATCAAATGTAGTCATCTACATGAGTGACTAACCCAATAGAATGAGTTCAATGAACGAAGCTGTAAATAATGACTATAATGAACATATCTGAAGCTTATGAGATTCCTACAACTAAAGCTTGCAGATTAACATATTCATGACTCGAACAATGACTAAAGTTAGTAGAAGTGAACTAATATAAAAAAAACAAAATAACAACAACACATATTTCAGCACAGAGGGGGGAAGTTGTCATGCTTTAGTTGTAACACCCCGGCCTCGCAGGACCCGAGGTAGCTACTCTAGACCAATAGTACTGTCCTCACACACCACCACGAGCCTTTACCGCGCACTTTGTCCTCACTCATGCGTGCCCTGAGAAACTTCCCAGGGGGTCACCCATCCCAAGACTACTCTCGTGCAAGCACGCTTAACTTTGGAGTTCTTGGGTGATGAGCTCCCTTAAAAGGAGATGCACCTCTGTTGGTATGAGTAGTACTATTAATCCTCTTATATTAATCTCGGGTATTACAATCACCCCCACTTAGGATCGCAACGTCCTCGTTGCGCCCTTAACAATCTCAATCAAACCCCAGAATCTTGCCCCGCTAAATGCCCGCCCGATATCTAACGAGTCAGTACACTGTCGCAGGGTTGCTCTGATACCATTATATTAATCTCGGGTATTACATTAGTGGGACTGAAAGATACTACCATTTTCAGTCCATACTCTAATTTATATATATCTAATTTATATGTATACAGAATGTGTTAAAGATCATCACTAGCCTAATAGAGTTTAGCTCTTTATCTAGAAGACGTTAGAATGTCCAAGAATGTCTTAGAAGATTCTAGAACATCATAGAAGACTGCAGAAGATTTTGGAATACCCTAGAACCTTCTAGAATTTCATGGAAGACGCTGGAAGGTTATGAAATCTTCTAGAATACCGTGGAAGACATAGTGTCCTAGACTTCTCTAGGACATGGATAGAATGTTCTAGAACTATATAGAAACTTGTAATAGATATTAGAGTATTGTATAGACTCCTAGAATAGTCAAGAATGTATGTAGTATGTAGGAAGATCTAGAAACTTCCTATAAGGAGGTGGAAACACCTATAAATAGGAGTGGAGCTCATTTGATCCAAACCATCCAAGAACCAAGCATCCTAAAGCAAAGTGTCTCTCAAAGTGTAACGTCTTCCAAAGTGTCTTAATAAAAGTGTTTTTGTTTCCCATAAGAAAGAATCATGTTCAACAATCTGGTATCAGAGCTTGGTTGTTAGTGAGTGAGTTTCTTTGTTTCGTGAGTAGTCTGTGACTCTGCAAGTTTGGTGTAAAACAAGCTTGTTTGGTATTACTGAGGTACTGCCTACATGATGGGTGATCTCCAAGTCGTCGGAGGAATTAAGAAGCTTAACAACAATAACTAAAATATGTGGGCAACATGTACGATGTCCTACTTACAAGGACAAGACCTGTGGGAGATTGTTGGCGGAAGTGAAACTACGCCACCAGAGGAAGATGTCAACGGTGTCTTGCGTAAATGGAGAATCAAAGCAGGCAAAGCAGGCAAAGCAATGTTTGCCTTGAAGACCACAATTGAAGAAGAGATGTTGGAGTATATTCGGGATAAGAATACTCCAAAAGAAGCACAAGACACGTTCGTAACGCTTTTCTCAAAGAAGAATGATACAAGACTGCAACTTCTGGAGAGCGAGCTATTGTCAATCTCACAACGTGACATGACGTGCAATTGCTCAGTACTTCCACAAGGCCACATCGATATGTCGTGAGATTACTAAACTAGATCTGAAGTCTGTCATTGGAGAAGATTGAATGAAGAGGATCATTATCCA